ATTTACATCAGTTCCTAATTCACTTTTAAGGAGGGGGAGGTAGCTAAGAGGAGGGAAGCAAGAGACACAGTGCAGTTGGTTATTGCTGCTCCGCAGTCTGCAGAGGTGCAATTTAATAAAGGGACAGCTAATCACAGCCAAGTTTTGAAGCCAAGAGTTAGGCAGTCACGGGAAATCTGTGTGAGCATAATTCCATAAAACTTCTAATCGTCTCCTTACACTAGTGTGTGTTGTCTTCCCGAGTCAATGCACTCCCTCTGGTGGCAAATTTACTGTCTCAGTTTCACTCTTTTTTTGTAGTTAAGGTTGCATATGAGCAGATGGCTAAAAAAAACGAGAGAGCAAGAAGCTACTGCTTTTATTAGGCTACTTTATCATTTTATATTCTCGACACTGAGGGCACAGATAAAGTCTGTCCATTCAAATGTATTTAAAAATAATCCTCATACGTGGAAAAAGAGGAAGCTAAAAATATTCTGTTCAGAAAGGCTATTTCTGGAAAGAGCCTAAGACATTATATTTTTATCAGGTCAATGGTCTGTTGGCCTCAGTGATCTGCTGTTTTAAAACCCATGTTGGTCATTCATAAAAGATAAATCAATGATGTGTTGAAGTCCCTTTTAGTAATTTCCTCTAATTTCTTTTTAGGTGTCTATCTGCTCCATCTCACACTGCAAGCTTTTCTGAATAAAAAACATCTTTTTCTGCTCATTGCATGCTAGTCAGGGTAATAGGTGCTACTGCTGCCTGTAAAGTATAGGGAGCAGTGAGGGAAATTTCCTATGTGGTGGAAATCATCAAAAGAGCAAGAAGTCTCCACTCTGACAGATAAACTTTTTTTGGATGTCATTTGTTCATACAAGTGATTGATTTACCTACACATTTTTAGAGAATGCTTATTATTAAGCAAAGCCAGTGTTAAAGTGGTATTCGGTAATTAAACACTATTCTAAGGCTGGGAAACATCAGTAGAAACAGTATTTACTTAATTAACTGTCATGTTGTGTTTCAAAAGACAGAAACAAAAGCAGACACTGCTGTGAACTTGCTTGCCTGTAGGTTGATGCACTTCAGCACCTGGTGAGCTTCCTGCCTTAAGAAGAAGAGCTGTTCGCACACCTCCAACAGCTGCATTTAGATGCTGAGCTGACCACGTTTGCACTGTAGTGGAAGGACTTAGAGTTGTATTTGGAGCAAGTTTATTGAGGGCAAGAGAGAGAGAGAGCAGGGATGGCTCATTTTAATTTCCACTGTAACCTCACTAATCTGGGTGAGAGAGTGGCCTGGGACAGGCACTGCTGCTAGTGCAGAGGATGGGGTTTGTAGAACCCTTTTTTTCCTCTGACTTAGTGCTCACAGAATTAGACCAAAGCTAATTTTAGAGTCCAATGTTGATGTTAGAGGCCAGTCCTATCAACCAGACTCTATTACCACTGTCTTAAAAAAAAGATTCCTTGGTGACTATATAACCTTGAATTAACTGTCTGTCCCAGATGCCATCTAATTTCATAATCTGTAATGTCATCATTGAATATCTGTCATAATTCACTTAATTGCATGTCTGTTGCTACAGTACTTCAATTTGGGCAAATTTCTGTTTTCTTGCTCAGGAAAACAGTTTACACTCTCAAGACCAATTTGCCAGCTGGAGCACAGTTCTTCTGCAAATGGATGCAAAGATAAGGCTCTTGTAAATATCTGAAAGCACCATCATCTCTGCATTTACACATTCAACAGTAAGAATCTCAAAGACAGTACATCACAGCCATCTCCATCAGATAGGTCCTTGCTCCCAGCACATGATGCTCTGAAGGTGTCAGCACGTGTAGCTGGGGCAAGTATGAGTCTGCCACCTGCATTGCTTTCAAGAAACTAATGAGGAAGAAGTATGAAACCCTGTGATGGCACAAAGATGTGGGGCATATTTAGGACTAGCTTTAAGTGACTGTCACGGATCATCTGCAACAGGTCCTTTGAGTTTTCAGGCATGGTTGTAGCTAAAACCACAGCGCTCAAGAAGGACTTGTGAGTGCAACCTCCCCAGAAAGAGACCAGGAGTTGTTTTTTTTTCCCCTCTTTTACATGGATGTTCTTCCTGAGAGGAGACAACTGTGCTCCTGAACTGGTAGTGAGAGAATCATCTTCTGATTAATCCATCCAGGGGACTGTAATGATGTGGCTGTGTGCCATTTGATAGTAGTGTAAAGAAAGTAGGAGAGACATTCACAGGTCAAAACATTAATAGACACCAGAGCCTGTTCTTTTAGTCCTTGGATCATATGTATAAAACAACTCAGACATCCTTCTGAATCTTCATTTATCCTCAGATAGTTTTACTATGCTGTTGAATTAGTGCTTGCTCCAGTATGAATGAAATGTCAGTTCTGTTTAGCATACTAGTCTGGTTTTATTGAATGTAATGATAACTACGTATTTCCTTAGAAGTCTTATCTCCACAGTATTAAAAGAGAAACTTCTGGTCTGAGAGGGAGTTTTTTATGACTTAATAATTGTCATCTCATTCTTAACTGTTGTAAATGAAAATGAAGCAATATGTACTGTACTAAGAAAATGGCCTCTCCAATCAAAAATGGGAAGGATTGAATTTTTCTTCATTAAGCTCATGATTTGCTACTGAACCTGACCTGATGTTTTAGAACATCTATGTTTTACTAGTTGTATTAAATTAAAGTATACTTGTTATAGTTTTGGAAGTCACTAATAATTGCAAAGACATCTCGTAGCCCCAGTGGTATTTTTTGATCTCCTTACTTTTGCATATGGAAGAATTATTACCATCATCTGAAACAAATTTTGTGGTTTGATATATAAAACCCAGAGTTAATCAAATTGCAATGTCTTCATATCAGTGCAAATTATTTTGACATTCAGAGAATGTTACCACTTTTTAAACTATGTCATAAATATTACTAAATATTACTATCCATTTCATCAGTATAACATGACCATTTATATGGATGTATTTCAGGATGAAGAGGTATGGCTTAAATTCCTCTGTAATTAAATATTCTTGTGCTTTGTACATTTCTCAAGCTTCACCTTTTGTATTTTTGGGAGGGGGGATGGAATTCCAGTCTGCTTTTAGACTACAGCTGTAGAAGCTAGAGACTTCTGTTGAAAAGACAAAACCACAAAAGCCTCAGATGAGTTGTCTTCCTGGCATTTGTTTAAACCTTGAAGTGTTCCAACTTGCAATGGGCTACAGCAAAATTTTACTAGATGGGATTTTGTTTGATCATAGGGTGCAATTCTGCATTTTATATCATTTTGAGTATGAAGGCAACTGAAGATTTACTTATTTCAGAAGACCTTGTAGGTCTAAAATCTTTCAAAGGAAAGGGCAAAGAGAGATATGAGAAAATAAAGTCACTAATGTTTAAAAATTCTTTTTTTTTGGCAGTTACTATCATTAGCAAAATGGACTGTGTTTTACACAGGCAATTAAAGGAATACTATTACAATTCATTATAAGCTTACCATTGTTAAAGAGATTATCATGATTTTTTCTTACCTTTTTTTTTGTTTGAATATTGCTTTTCTTATCTTGAGTAACTTTAAATGACTGGGGGAAAAATAACAAATATTTGATGATGTTTGGTAAAATTGGGATAGTTTTAAGGTAACTTAAAGAATTACTTTAATCAATTTTAAAATCTTAATTAGCTCTGTTCAGAAACATCTACATTATGAGGCTTATTTTAAAGGTGAGAAGCATGGAATCTTTTGGTCAGCACGCTTCAGAGAAAAGATGATGTCTTCTGTCTCATTACATGTGTTTATGCTTTTTGATTATGGAAGAAGAAAACAAAACCAGCCATTAAAAAAAAAAAAAGAAAAAAAACCCAAGCTAACAGCAGATTTTAACAAGATTAAGAAATGTGAGTCAAGTTCAGCAGAATCACCTGTGGCTCCCTCACTTACTTAAAATCACACGATTTATAAGCACTGTGCATCTGAAACAGCTATTTACAGTTTAAAAGAAAAACAAACAAAACAAACCATCAAACCAAACAAACAAACCCCCACCTTTACGTCAAAACGCTCTCTTCAGGCACCTTGTAGAGTAACCCTGGTTCCAAACAATAGCCTGGTGCAGCATGACTCAGTGACAGCAAAGAGTTCACAAGGTCCCTTCCTCAAGGATTAATATCTGTAACAAGATGTTTTAGCTCAGTCAAATAGTAAACAAAACAAATAAGGACTCAAAGAGCCCTTAGAATTCAACATGCAGGCCTTCTGATGATATTCTTGAAACTGTTTTGCTCCTGTTGTGTTACAAATAGTCATTTGGCATATTTCTGGGATTTCTTTTCCAGATGATGAAATTAGTTTGCCAGTCCACAGGGACTATTGGGATTGTGACATTTTCTTCTGTTTGGGTCCCTTTAAAGGTGCCAAAGAAAAAATGAGATGAATCAGCAAGTGCATGAAGAATAATCACAGCTGAAAAAAAAAGGCATGTTATTTAGCTCTGGTTTGAGGACTGTAGAGCTTTTAACCTATCAAATAGATTATATGCCATATAAAAAAAGACAGGTCTTTTGCCTAGGAGGAATACAAAACCAGGGGCTCTTGGATCCATGAAGGGGAGCATAACTACTGCAATAAATAGGGTGTTTCTCCTTCAGGGACAAAAGGGTCTGGACTGTATAAAGTAAAAATGCTTTGTTGTCCCTTTCGGTCTTACCAAAAAATATATGTAGCTGAGGAGGAAGGACCTTTTCCCAGGGCAAATATCCACTGCACTAAAAGAGCCCTGGTTAATACAGCTGGGTCCCATGATTTCAACACCACTTTAAATATAAAATACTTGTGTCATCATCTCTATTCCTACTCTAAGGGCACAAGGAATCTGGGGTCATGAAGTGAAACTTGTTGAGGATTCATCCCCCAAGAGCCACATGGTTTGTCCCAGCTTTTGAGGCGGATCTTCTACCCGGGGAGTTGGTCTGGGAGGTCTCTGCGTTCCTCCCTTTGATATGAAGGAGACGGGCACAGATGTGAAGGCAGAGATGTCTTCAGTCCTTGCCTGTTTGCTGTTTTTCCTGGCGGGCTGCTTGGGATACCAGCACCACGCCTGTCACTGCATGGGAAGGGTCTTCATTTGTGAGGAAAGCAAGGTGGTCCATGTTCCCCGGGACATCCCTGCCAACATCACCGAACTGTAAGTAGGGAAAGGGGATGGTTCTCAGCAGCAGCCTTGTTGCTGGCTCGCAAAACAAACTGCTGGTTGGCAAGCCAAAGGTCAGGTTTGTAGGGAGTATCTTGGAAGACTTAGTGCTGGATGTTTGCAAAGCAAAGCCCTTCCTTCAACGCTCACTTAATTACATCTTGAAGCTCCTCTCCATTTCTCTGATCGTGCTCATTTTAAGATCTCTGTAAAGAAACAATATAGCATGTTATAATGTGAAGTGCAAACCAAATTTTGAACAAGATTCCTTGGTGCTGTGACACTAATTTGAAGCATAAAGTCTAAGCTTTCTTTACAGCTTGCTTTAGTGTTGTCGGAACGTGTAGTGCAACTTGTCTGCCCTAAACAACTAGATGATGAGCGTTTGTGTTTGTACTGCAGGAGGTTTCTGAAGGTTTGTGCTCATTTACCAAGAAGAAACTTAATGTTTTCTTTTTGAAATCACAAAGGCATTGCAGAAAGGATTCTGATGAACAGAGAGCAATCCTCCTCCATCAGGAGCAGCACAACTGCAGTTGGAGGGAGTGAACAATGTGAAGATATCATACTGAGTTACTCGAGAATGGTTTTTATCTATCTTAAAGTTGCTCTTTGTTTTCCATAAAGTAGTGTAAGCAATAGTGTATGGCAGCTGTTTTCTGTGTAAGTATCACAGGCAAGAAAATGCGTTTACACAAAGGCAAATGTGGAACAGTGCAAGCGACTGTTTTCATTTGAATTTTTTTTAAACAAATTTTATCACCCCTTGCCTACACCCACAGCTGTCTTACATCGTTATGATCTAAAGCAAAAACAAAAGGATAGTCATGGATAAAGTCTTTGATTAATGTCGAGTAGCAAGTTTGGAGGGAGGATACAATGAAGAATGATATGTCACTAGTTGGAAAAATATTCCTCTGTCCAAATTTTACACACCATGATACATCCATCCATGGTTACTACGCCACAGTTTTCCTAGGGCAGAAGTTTTGTTTTGTACAGAAGGAGGAGTTGTTATGCTCACTGAGTAAGCAGACTGTGGTGAAAACTTGAGAGAAATGTCTGAGTTAACCACAAAAGGTCAGTAAAAGTTTAAATCATTCTCACAACTAGAGGGAAAAATAATCCATCTGTGATGTAGGTCATCTAAATCCTGAATGAACTGTGCTCCAGGCATATACTGCTAATTTTGTTTAATTTTGCTTTGATTGTTTCTTTAGATTACGCAGTTAAGGTCTGCCTTCTAGGGATTAAGCAAAAGCATTTTTTTAATTATTTCTGCGAAGAAATAAAGTATCACTGAAAAGCACCTGTTAGCAAAATCAGTTTTGTTCTCTCCTTGTTAACTTCTCGAGGGTTTGTTGAGGATGCTAATTTGTGGGTTCTTCAGCATAAGTATGTATTCTCTGAAACAGGCAGACATTAGTGTGACTGAAAACAGGAAACAAATGCTTTCTTCTGGCAGTGCTGTGCAAATATTGGAATGAGAATCTCTCAACTTGGCTCTCTTCTCACTTTCTCTCTTACAAAATAAACCAGCTTTTGGTTCCTCAGGAAGCAATTCTGATCCCATTCAATCAGTATAGCCCTAGGACTGATTTCAGCATGGCTTAAAAATTTGAAGATTGCCTAAGTTGCTTTGAATATACCAAACCTTAGAATTAGTAATACATTCAGATATGTTACCTGAACAACTAAGTGACAGAGAAATGTTAGATTTTTCCTTCAGGATCAAAGTGGAACTCTAGAAAAGTGTTTTCCTCTGCATCTCTCTGTTGAGTGCCCAGTGGGGTGATTCAGATGACTAAAATGGGTTTTACTGCTCCAGATGACATTGAAGGTGCACCCTTGGTAACAGAAAAAGCTTGCTTTGTGTTTCCTCAAAAGGTCTCAATGACTGAAAAGGGTTTTAAAATCAGTGTAGCAAATTGAGCACAGAAGGCCACAGTGTCTAAGAACCCTGTACAGGGCACAAGCAGTGACTTCTTGGAACATACAGCTCCTGCAAGGTACTTTTTTCACTTAAGAGATCATTGTGGAAGTGCTGAATGCAGTCTGTTTTCGTTTGATGTAAAGGAGAGGGGTTTCTTCAGTGCACTTAAAGCTCCTCACCTTCCCTTACGTGGCCTTGATAGCTTTCCTAAGTTATGCTAGAGTCCTTCCCTAGTGCCCTTAAAATGTTGAATAACATGCTGGTGAGAACTTTGGACTGAGAACCGGAGCCTGATAAGCCTCAAGCACTTGTTGCTCTGTGTTTCTATTTCACTACAGCTGTTTCTGAAGTAGGGACACTGGCATGTGGCAGCCAGCTCTGTCACTTGCTAGGAAAACTCAGGATAAAGATAAAAATATGGCCCTCACTAACCATTATCTCTTTGCCATTGCTGATTTTTTAATTATTATTATTTTTTAGTGTTTGAGGGTTGGTCACTGTCATGTGCTGCTGTGATGGGTTTGTTTGTGGTTGGTTTCTCATCAGTGAGAGCTCACACTCCACAGTTATAGGTCACAACAGTGAACATGAGCTCTGCAGTGTGGTACATGAGATGGTTTTCATCCTGGTTGGATTAGCATCTCCCTTAGCAAAGTTATTGCAAAGGGGAAGGCTGGTAGCCTCTTACAGTGAGTGATTTCGTTTTGTACTTACCATGTGGAAACAGAGCAGGAATCAGAATCCATAGGGTTTCATTACTCTTCTTGCTGCTGCATCTACTTTTTCACTTACAGGCCAAAATCTCATGAGGGGATAGTTACAGCTTGGTTTGTACATTGTTTTTTGCAGACTTGCAAGCACTCTGCAGCTGGCATGTTCTGAATGTTTGCAGAGGAGTCTGTGGTTATTAGCTGTTTTGCTTTTGTTCTATCTTTGGCTGGATAGAAGAATTTTGGGAGGGGGTTTTATAGATACCAAAATGCCTAAGAGAATTGGAGTCAATCCATTAGAAACCAGAGGCCAAAAGTTCAGGTGGGAAATGTATGTTCCTCTGTGTCAAAGTACTAACTGTTGATTGCCCCTGGGGAAGAGGGGAGGGAGTGATTCAGTAGTAACCAAAGGCAGTTTGCTCCTTGAAGATTTATACCAGCCTTAAAATGTAATGTCAACCTTTGTAATCCGTCATCAGTATTCACTAAGATTTCATTTTAGTTATTAGAGGTCTTGCTTTGAGATTGTAATGCAAACAAAAAACTTATTCTCAGAAGGGATTCTTCTTAAGATTTAACAAACTACTTTCAGCAGAAATATTTGAGTATCATCAAATAACAGGATAAGAGGAAATGACCTCAAGTCGTGCCAGGGGCAGTTTGGACTGAATATTAGGAAAAATATCTTAGCTGAAAGGGTGGTCAGGCACTGGAATAGGCTGCCCAGGGAAGTGGTGGAATCACCATCCTTATAAGTGTTCAAAAGACACGTGGATGTGGCACTTGGGGACATGATTTAGTGGTGAACATGATGGTGCTGGATTAATCTTTGGACTCAGGGGTCTTAGAGTTCTTTTCCAGTCTTAATGATTCCATGATTCTATGGTTCTGTGAGGCAGTTTAGCCATTGTCAGAGGAGTTTAGAGGTATATTATATAGAGTGTTTCTCCCAAGCATCTGCAAACTATAAACAGCAGGGATTTTTACTTGCTTGCTGCATAGGTGTTTTTGTACAATTGCTCAGGGATATTTATTTTAGATTATCAAGTCAAGGCTGAGTAGATGTCTGAGCACTAAAACATTGGCTGCCTTGAAATAGTAAGTTCTGTGTTATGTACGGGGTGAGTCAGATGTGCTTCCCAGCGACAGAAGCTGCAAATTATGTGAACAATACCTGCAGCACTGTCATTGACAGCTGCAATTAGGAATTTTTTTATTCTTTCACACTTAAAGTTGAAATTACACTGAAACCTGTGAATGACTACGCTTTTGCTCAGGTGTTTATATGGGTGGACTGAACTTTAATTAAGAAAGACAAGGTGCAGAGAGGATAAAGTAAGGTAAGAAAATGAAGACCCATGAAACTTTGAATTCCCTGTGTTATGGAGGTTAATCATAGAGTTAACCAATAAATCCACACATTTTCAGAATGGGATGAGACTATTTTCACAGCAGAGCATATGGAGAACATACTACATGCTAGCTAAAACCTTTTTAAATATTATTAGTTTTTAATTCAAACCAACTTTGCATCTCTTAGGGTTACATTCTTCTCACCCTGAATTTATGATCAATTCATACTTTGAAGCAGAAAGCTATAGAGGTGCTGTACAATTGCTGTCTGTATATTGGTGCAGTGATCCAACACTTTTGCTGGACTCTGATATTTTAATTGGGAGGATAAAAAGAAATAAGCAGATCATAAAAGCGAAAAAGAAGAAAAGGAAGAAAATTACACAAAAGGATAATAAACTCTGCAGGACAGATCCTCAGCTAGTATAAATGACGAAATATATATCTCTATAGAAACATCCAGTTCCTAAAGCTTCAGGAGCTTTTGAACACGAGGAGGTATGCTGCACACAATAGGAGCTGCTTTGCAGTGCAGTACTCTGCTGGCTTACTCATGGTGCTATAAATAAATACATACACATGACTGTCACCTTACTAGTATGGTCTGCAGCTTGATGCATGTATGTTTAAGTCTGAAGATGTACAGATATCTGCATATACATGTAATGTATCTTTGAAATGAAAACACATTCACTTGAAATTAAATGGCAAGACATACTTGTTAAGTCACTGAGTTCCTTGCAGGGAAACAGTGAAAACTAAGACTTGATTTTGTTTCTATGCAGCATTGAGAGGGTACCAAGTTGATGCCCTTCACTGGGTCCAGCTGCAGAGAGATTCTCTCAATGTATAATCCCCAGCTTTTCTAGCTCTTTCTGTCTCTTACGCACACACACGTACACACACACACGCAAACCAGCCTGTGACACATCCCCACACATCTGATACCAGGCAGAATGGGTTCCTGGGCTGGTCATCTCCATGTCCTGAAACAAAGA